AGACCAAAAATCGTATGTTCTCCCTCATATGTGGACATTAGATCAAGGGCAAACGCAACAATGGGATTGGACTTTGAGCACATGATAAAAGCGAGAGCACACAAGGGAGGGGTGAGGATAGGTAAGACACCTAAAAAATTAGCTAGCATTTGTTTTCCTTAACACAGAGAAACTAAAGCAGATACCTTAAAGCAACTGAGGCCAATAGGAAAAGGGGACCAGGAACTAGAGAAAAGGTGAGATCAAAAAGAATTAACCTAGAAGGTAACACCCACGCACAGGAAATCAATGTGAGTCAATGCCCTGTATAGCTATCCTTATCTCAACCAGCAAAAACCCTTGTTCCTTCCTATTATTGCTTATACTCTCTCTACAACAAAATTAGAAATAAGGGCAAAATAGTTTCTGCTGGGTAGCGAGGGGGGGGAGAGGGAGGGGCGGAGTGGGTGGTAAGGGAGGGGTGGGGCAGGGGGGAGAAATGAACCAAGCCTTGTATGCACATATGAATAATAAAAGAAAAAAAAAAAAAAAAAAATGCAGACTGTGGTACTGAGGCAGGGGGATAGGGAAGTACAGTTTGGTCAAGAGGGAGTGGAGACTGACCAGATATGCTCCAAATCCCACCTAGGACACATCCCCTTCAGGAGACATCTGGTTGGGAACACCTCTGGCATCCCCTTTTTGTGGTTAACTCAATAGGTGCTACTTATTCAGAAAAGATGTTTGTGCAGAAGAGAAAGTCCTGGAGCTAGCACATGTGCTGAGGGCTGGAGAACTTGTCCTCAGGTGACCTTCTGAGATATCCCCTACTTAAAACTTCATACATATGGACTGCATCATGAATGTAATTATAGCAGAATGCCTTATGGGTAGGGACATGTGCAGTCAAAAACAAGTTAAATAATATCCTCCTGATACTCAAACCTGTCAATCACCCCAGCCCCTTTCTGCAAAGATCACCCAGATTTTTCCCATTGTTTGCCCTTACAATCTATAAATTGTCCTTTGAACAAAGATTGGGGCTTCTGTGCCATCTGGCCAGAGTCCACTGTTCTATCTTTCAGTGTTTCCTCCTGTTCATGCTTTTCTTTTTCTTTCAGTAAAACCGCACTACTGCTTACAATCTGTGACTCTGCCCAAGGCTTTGTTTCAAGATGCAAAGACCTGAGTTCATCTCAAGCAGGGTCATCTTAGACCACCCACCAGAAATAATGCAGTGTGCCTACAGTTCTCAAAAAATCCCAGGTGGTGATGATCCTGCTGGGTTTGGACTACATGTTGAGTAAAGATGTATGCAACTGTGTATTTGTGAGTCTGTAAACAGAAAGGAGAAAAGGGAGAAGCCCCTCCTCCCCCCCAAAAAATAACAAGTTGGAAAGGAAAGAGCCAGGGAGGTAGTAGGACATGGATGGAGAGCAAGCAGCATCACACAAAACAAGAAGGACTTTAAGAAGATGAGAATTTGTCCCAGGCTGAATGGCAAAAGTAGATTAAGAACAAATAAGCAGACTTGGATTTAGCAACTAACAATCACGGGAAACCCTCAGCAGAGTAAGTTAACTTCTAATGTAGCTCTGGGTATCTTATTACCCTTTCCCCACACAGTGAGTTCAAACTTCTTCAAGAGCCCTCAGTCCACCATCATGTCTGTTTAATGCCTGAAGACCTCAAAATTTCTACTTCCCTGAAAAAAAGTAGATACCAGTTAGCAGGACCAACTCCGTTCGTCTTAAAACCTACACATTTCAAATTTAAAAGCATTCCTCTTTCCGTCCCTTCCTCCAATCTCCGAGTAGGTGTATGGGCTCCTTCCTCTGTGCTTGTTAATGCACCAGCCTTCAATTCCTCAAGCCTGTCTCAGCACAGACTGCAAAACTCCAATGGTTGTACTTAGTCTATCCCACTGGACTACTCCCATGTGAGTAAGAGTTATAGAAAGGCACGTAATGATATTCGACTCAATCACATATAAGAAGTTTGAGGTTGGTGGGGAAGAAAACCCCTACACTGGAGACAAAAACCACCCCCATCCCAGTTTCTGAGCAGTGTGTGGGACACCAGGCCTGGGAGTATGAGCAGGTGTCTGAAGGTGATCCAGGACTTAGAGACAGGAAAAGCAGGGGAACAGGGAGAGTCTATTGACTTATTCCACACACTAGTGAGTTAAACAATGGTGAAAAACAACCTTTCTGATATTTGTTACATAAGATAGTTTTTTATTGTTACTTGAGCCTGGTGAGTTTTCTGTTACCTATAGTTTAAGTGTCTATACTGATACTATGTGTCATAGCAGAATTTATCCTTTTATTAGTGCTGTTAAAGGGCCTAAAATATACTTTCTCTTCTCTCTCTCTCTCTCTCTCTCTCTCTCTCTCTCTCTCTCTCTCTCTCTCTGTCCTCTTTTATCTTTTGTTCTTCTTTCCATTCCTGTATCCCTCCTCCCCTCTTTCACCCTCACTTGCTTTTCCTACCTATATCTGTATCTCTAAAACTATTATTTTAACTTTTGGGCTGCTTTACTCAAGCACAAAACCCCTATCTTCTAGTCCATGAAAGTAAAATGGTCCTTCTACTGCCTAAAACTTCCACTCAGATCTCTGCCTGGGACCTAGTCCTTGGTTTTACTTCTTTACAATTGTGATACAGATGATATTTGTGACTTATTTAACCAATGCTAAATAATCTTGTGACTCACATTTGTAGTTATTTAGAGATACAAGATGTACATATACAGAAATTAATAGCTATGTAAGTGCACCTAAGAGGGATATAACTAAATGTTGGAGTGATCAGAATAAATAGTATAAAAAGAGCACTCTGAATTTTCCCAGAAGGTGATAACCAAATTCCATTTATTTGCCTTGTGAATTTCATAAATGCAGAATTTAGAAATTTTCTTTTTCTTTTGTTTCAGAAATCTTATTTTTTTAACACTGCTGGGGACAACACCCAGGGCCTTGCATGTAATAGTCAAATGCTCTTCCATTTAGACAGAACTTAGTCTTAAAATGCTTGTTTATAATAGGTTAGCCACACATCTATGTGATGAAATATAGCAGGTTCTAGGACACCAAAGGGATTTTTTCCAACTTAAGCATAGATTGTTATAGTATAATACCATGAATTCTGCTTCCCTCAGAGTTATAACAGCTTCCCCATTCTTAAACCCTTCTAGCAAAGCTAAACCTAGTATCAATACATGCATAGGTGGTTGTTATGGTGTGTCTTGCAATGATTCCACATTGCAATGATTCCCATAGCTGAAATATAACCTTGGGAGGAATTTACATTTGGACTTCAGGGATCTTTATGTGAATTTCTGGGTCCTCCCCACAAAGAAAAGCCAGAAATGAATTCCCTAAGTTAGCAAAGGGTTTGGATAGAGCAAGGAATATCAGATATCTAAAGCATAATCCTTCTTGTTGCAGATGTGATTAGCTAGCATCAAGGTACTCGTGGAAGTGAATTAGTGGACTGATTTGGGTGCCCTGTAATCTAGTGCTACATTGCTCCTGGGTCTCTGTTTGCTCTGTCTTTTGAACTGTCTGTGGTTTTCAGTTCCAAACAGCAACACTTGCCCCCTCACTGCCCCTTATTCATCTATAAGCAGATGGAATAAGCAAGTGGTTTTCCAGATATCAAAAGGAAGCCTCCACAACTCTGAGTGAGGAAATTCAGTCTCCCAAGAACATGGGGTACACATCCTGCTGTTTATACTTGGGACAGGTACTTGTCACTGTCCCATCAGGCAAGACTGTGGACTTTATGAAGAGAGATGCACAAGAGATCCATACCCAGCTATAATTTTGTCTGCTACCTGCACTTCCCCTATCCACCACCCCAAAACCCCAAAGAGAGAATTGCTCTCAGCCCTCTGAAAGATGAACCACGTATTACAGCCCCTGCTATAAAACCATGTCACAAGCTTACAAGTTGTCCTCATTTAGGAGATTTTAGTTAGGATTTGTTTTCAATGTGTTTCCCTTGGGATTCTTTTTTTACTGTATGTCTTTAAAGAGTAGTCATAATCAGAACTTCTCTTATTATCATGAATTTATTTTTTATTTCAATGGTGTTAATGAATGTTTCCTAGAAAGTCCACAATACTCACTCTCATATTTCAATTTATATTAAAATTTATTCAAAGATAAGATCACTCAGTGTTATTGGAGAAGTCTATAAATAACAGAACGGACAGTCCAGATTCACATGCAATAATAGAGTCCTCATATGATTTGCATAAGCTGCAGAACTGTTTTCTTGACACAGCCCCCTGCTCCTCTTCTCATTCTTTGCTGTATTAATTTTTGCCATCACCAGCAATGCTCTCTAGTACAATAGACAAAATTTCTGCCTCTTCAACTTTAAAAATACTAATTCAAAAAAATCAATCAAAAGCGATCTGATATAATCAAAGTGCCTTAAATCAATGGAAATGGAATTTTCATGAATTAAAATTGTTTTAATATTCTTAGGTTCTCAGTGATATCTCTTTGCACACTTTGGAAGTGAACTGAAAATTATGGAAGTAGTTTATAGTACTTGGACTGGCCTACTCTACTCACTGCAACTTAGATAGACATTAGGGCAAACATCACACCTTATAATTTCTCAATAGTTGAGTAGCTGTGCTAGTTTTGCGACAACCGGTGAAAGGTAAAACATGGTAAACTGGATGCATGGAGAAAACATGGGAGGTCGTAATGCATTTCCAGGACATGACCTCTTGCCATTGCCCGCAGCCTCTTGGAGTAAGATTAAAAAGTCATCGAAATAGTTAACAGATGTTAGCCATACTTGAAATAGACAAGTTCTATTGCTAAAACTTATGTAGAGTCAGATGGAGAATTGGCTTTTGGTCCATAACTTAACTGATTTGGCAACTGGAAAGTTGAGCTCCAGAGGCACAATGCATACCATCGAGGCCACACACTTTGCATGCTGTGCTGGAGTTCATAAACCACTGATAACGTGCATGCTGTGCTAATTCAGCCCCAGTCAGTACTAACACAGTTTCTGATACTTAGAGAAACCCGAAGTCAATTTTCACATCTGCTAAATTAAAAAGATATTTCTAGGATAGCAAAGAGTAGACTTTTTTCACATTCAAAAGGACATCCACAAGTTTTATTATTTATCCTCAGTTTGCAATCTACCTGATGACTGTGATTGTTTTCCACTGGCTTCGTAGCCTATCCAGTTATAATCCTTTTTAAAGAATCTCTTCTTTCCCCACTCTTGTCTATTACTTGACATTTCAGAACAGGTTGGCATTAATTATTTTCAGATGGATCTCTGTAGATGAACTGAATCTTCTCCATCAGATGTCATAAATCCATTCCCGTCAAGCTTTTCTGATGGAGGCTTGTGCTACTTTAGAGTTTGTGGTTTTATTTACAGCCTTGCAGATAAAGTCACCGGCTTCCATCACTTTGTAGAGATTCACACCCTAAAGAAGAAAAGAAGGGATACAACAGGGATGGGAAAATAGAAAAATGAAGACAGAACAGGTCCTTTTAAATTGTATTAGTTGTTTAATGATTTTAAAATTAGTTAACATTGGGCTGCACATTATTGATTCAAGTGCAACATTCATTTTCATGATTCATGTTCTAGCATTTTCTGCTTTATTGAAATAAATATTGAATCTTACCTTTGTATAATAACATAGGTTAGATGCACCTTAATGCCTAGCATGGACAATAATTGATTTAGAAAACAGTCCACAAGATATCAGTAACTAGATAAGTGATAATGGTTTGTAAGAGATTAGAGATAAGAACTGAATTTGGGAAAAAATAATCCCTTTACTATATTTAAAGAATCAAACTAGATGAAGTGATATGGATTAAGGAAAGGTGAATGTATTTTTAATCATATTGAGAATCAGTATTACTGGTATGATATTGGAAAGGGTAGTTGTAAGTTACATAAAATGAAGTAGTACTTAGTACACATCTGGAACTTCTTTGCCTGAGAGGTCATACTGTCTGAAAATATAAACAGGATCAACAGAGGCTTAGGTAAATCCATGGATGACAGATACACAGTTGGGTATGAAGGCCAAGTTTGGGGCATGCTCCTAACTTGGAGTAACAACAGGTCACCATCAAATTCCCCACCCAGCACTTGTGCTGTCATAGGGATAGGCATAGCTTTGGGTGGATTAACAACAGATTTGCCCCAGGTAGCATCTCAGAAGCTCCTATGTCCTCCCTAACATGTACAGAAACAATGAGGACTTAAACATTCTCAGTCTGCCTTGCTATGGGGAAGGGTTTGGTTTTTTTTTTTTAATATTAATGGGAGTCTGTTTTTTCCTATAATAGGTAAGCATAAATATCCATAAGGTTTTTATAATAATGGCCATCATTTTAGAAAATGGAGACATTTTAACTACTTCTTTCTAGAAATGTTTTAATGCAGTTTTCTTTGTTTCTCTTTTTAAGAATGAACGAGAAACATATTTTTGTAAAGTAACACTTTGAAATGATTTTTGGTATTTTGTTTTATTTTACGTTTGTTTTCAGTGTAATAACACTTGCTCTGATTTGAGAAATTTGGTTTTGTCATGATAATGGTTTTAATGAAGTAAAAGTATGGTAAGATTCTTAATCTAATGATATTAGTTTTTATAGATAACTAGCTCCATGTGTTTTTTGTTTCTGAATTACATCCAGACAGGGGTCATAGGAAGATTTTAGTCATTAATGCTCTTTTTTGCTTTCAAAGATTTCCATTTATAACAATTATGCATGGAATTTGTTGAAGAAGAATTTTGTTTGGGCCTTTGCCATTTTCTTTAATTAATAGATATCACTATGAGATGACAATACATTTACTCTTGAATCATTTATCAGGTGCTTAAATATGTTTCATGTACTACGATGGATTTTGCAGTTTCTAGAACTTCACTTAAGGATGTGGTTTCAGTCTTTAGGAAGCTTATACAAACATACGTAATAAACAGAAACAGAAATCCACAGCAGAAAATTCTGTCCATTCTGTTCTAGGGAAATGCCCAGATTGTTGTGGAGGCAGACATGTGGAATGACCAAGCCATGAGGGGAGAGTAGAGAGAATGTCTCAGGGAGGGCTCTAAGAATGGTAAGTCTGGTCCTGAGTTTTATATGGAGAGTACGAGTTACTGGAAAGAAGAAGGATGTGTGGAATCCCGTAGATAGAAATGAGATGCCCTAAAAATAGCATGATATTTATGGAGAATGACAGGCAAAAATACCATGGTACATATTTATATGTTTTGTTCAGATAAAGGTACAAATGTGATGGAGCAAATCATGTTTAGGAGGAAATAAGAACCCACTGATGGGTGCTCCAAAGGCAGCATGGCATATCACACTTGGATTTTAGATGAAATCCTCTGATGGTATTTGGGTAGATGAATTTAAAACCTACCCTGAATAATGTAGAGCTGAATAGGCAGGAAAGAGATAAGGGTCTACACTAATTTAGTAAGGGCCTTAAGGAAGGAACAAAACCCAAAAAATTTAGAAATCAAATTACTGGTTCTTGGTAATTGACTGGACCTGTAGTCCACAGGAAGAGTGGACTGTAGTGACAAACTTGACTTACTAGCTTGGATTGTTGGTTGAACTTTGCCAACTATACCGGGTCATGATCTTCCTGGAACGATGAAATGATTACCCTGCTATGTAAATGAAATGATACTTATTCTTAACCAGAGAAGATAAGCAATCGCTTCTGGTGTTTATAGACAACAGCTGTGAGTCTTTGGTGCCGGGTGAAATCTCAATAAATATTTATTGAGCATCTGTAAGTCACAGACATCAAGCATGAATAAGCTATAATAATTGCTTTCTGGTTGCACAGGAAGCTAGGCAAAGAAACAAGATTTTGATACAACCTCCTGGAATGTTCAAAGGTAAAACTACAGAGGGTATCAGGGAAGCACCAAGGACAAGAACCTCACAGCTTGGCCTGGTGAGAGACAGAGAGACAGTGGAAGGGGACATTTTTAGGATGGCAGTGCCTATTTTCAGGAGAAATGGAGAATGAGCTGAAGACCATTTAGAGTGACTGAAAGCATAACCAGGGGTAGGGTGAAGAACAGAATGGGGCCATCATGAACATTTGGTGCTACAGGAGCACTGGCAATAATTAAGAGTGACAAAGGAGAAGTGGGTGGAGAGGGAAAAACCTACTTTAATCAAAATGATGTTTGTACATCTCAGAGAAAGATTGGATATCTAATCACCCTTGTGAATCATTTTATAGTTTTCCCTACAAAAAGGTCTACCCTACAGGGTTCCCGACTGTTTTCAAGCCTGAGTTTACAAAACAAGGCTTTTGTCATGTGGATGTTATCATACAGGCTGTAACTTTCCAGGTGCTACTTAGAAAGAGCCCACATTTGTCATCAACCTCATACGTTAAGTTTTATTAAGATTTGCTCTTCCACCGGCCATTTGAAAAGCGCCATCCCTGTCCCTGTGAGGACACCAAGAACTCGGTTTGACTGAGGACCTCAGGTTCTCCAAGGAAAGCATCCATAAAAAGAGCAAACCACCACAATAGCAAAGACACAGGCTCTAGCTCACAGCGTGTATAAAATCAAATCAGATAATATATGGAAAAGTACTTTGGAGTTCATAAAATCCTCTGAAATGTGCAATGGTACATCATTGGTGACTGAGCTATAGCAATGGTGACTTTACAAAGCCCCTGAAAAGATTTTATTATGTTTCCCCACTGTGCAGTTTAACAAATAGCAAGTGTGTAGTAAAACTTTGACCTCAAAATTATGTCTGAAAAATTAGAAGCATTCCAATTTGAAGCTGAAAAGATGTGAAAGCAGCTTACTGTCTTGAGCCCAAGGCCGTGAAGCATGTATATCAAGTCCTCTGTGGCAACATTCCCAGAAGCATTTTTAGCATAAGGACAACCACCCAATCCAGACACTGACGAGTCCACCGCATTGATTCCCATCTGGAAAACAAACCAAAACACCTAAGGCTTGTGTATTTGTGACATGTATTTTTTTTTTTCATTTCGATTTAACCTGTGGCAAAGAGAAAATAAGCAAAATCAGATCCTTGTTCACTTGCCCACCTGCTGCTACAACAGTCCCTGCGGTGCTAATTTGTTTTCTGACTAATTTTGTTTCTTTATACTAACAGAACCTCTGCTGAGGAGCTCTGGAACTTAGCAAGATCTTAGATCCAAATTAAAAAGGTATTTTTTTTTCATAGTTGTACAAGTACAACTGAGCTTGAGGTAAAGCTAATTCATTTACATGTTCTCCTTTACCAGCTTTATCCCCAAAGCGCTGCATTAACAACAGAAATATTTCCAACATCCAACTCAAAATCAAAGCACCTTAGAAAACTGGTTATGTGTGTATGTGTGTGTGTTGCGGGAGGTAGTCACTGTGCTTGAAATTGGATTTTATGGGCTTAATTCATCCATTTAATTCACCAATCTTTACTGAAACATTGTATCATATGCAGAACTCTGCTTGTCAGAAGGAAGTAAAGAGGTATTTAAGAGGCAATACACCCTTAATAATAATTGGGCTGGCTACTAGTCTTAACACTTTATCTGTACTAACTCAGAATTCTCAGCAAACCCACAAGGAAGATACTCTTTGTATTACCACTAAATCACAGACAGGAGACGGTTAAGAGGGATCAAACCATTTGCCCAAGTTCACCATCTGGTAAGGTGTCTCTGTCTTCAGAGAGCTCACTCTGCCTTGACTCCTGGCCTCTGGGAGCACGCAAGTCAGTACAGATGGTGTTTCTGAGATCTGAGGCAGAAGAGTACTGTGTGGTGGGGACTGTGTAAGACATGAGTACACTGGGTCCAGGAGGACCCTAAAGGTCAGGAAGGCATGTCATTCCTCTGTGAAAGGTGACAACTTGATAATCAAAAGCTATGGAAAACCTAATCTAATTCTTCATTTCAGAGCATTGAAAAAAAAGTATAGGACCTCCTCCAAAAGGGATGAGAGATCTTGGGAGCAGAGCTCTTGGTTAAATGGCTAGAAGTTGAGTCTCAGTCCCAGAATCAGAAACAAGATAGCTGCTGCACTGCCAGAGCTTCTGACTCAGGACCTCTGAGCTGGGCCCTGAGAATTTTTTTAAGTAGGTGTTGATGGCCCTCCTTCTGTCCCTCTGTCTCTCCTTCCCTATTTTCTTTACCTCCTTCTTTCCTTCCTTTTTCTCTTTCTGTTATTTTTTTAATAAACTTCCTACTTAAGGATACTTTTAGAATTTCAAACAACATAGCAGAGAGTTCCCATATACACCTACTCAGTTTCCTCTACTCTCACTATCTGTTAAAGAAAAAAAATTTCAATGACACTTGTTAAAGTACCATAAGGAAGACTAGTTAAAATCTGCATCTCTGAAGGAGTATGGGATCAGGCACTGATGTTTCTTTAAAGTTCCCTCTGCTTTTTTTAACAAATAATTTTTATTAGGATATATTCATTATACGAGGCGGGGAGGGAGATTCATAGTGACAATTCCGATTAGACTTATATTGTACCTTACATTGCCCCATCATCTCTCCCCCTCAGCTCCCGCCCCATCCCACTTAAAGCAATTGCAGGAGGTTTCTTACTTCTGTTTCATATAGGTATATGAAGTCAATCTGCCATATACTGTCACCTTAATCTCCTTCATTCACTCTCCCCAATTCCACTAGTATCCCTGCCCCCCACACTGTCCTATTTTACAGCCCTAGTTTTTGTTATTAATATTTAATTTGATGTTCAAAGGGTGTCTCTATGTATAACCATTGTGGATATAGTTTACTTTGGTCCATTCAACTCCTTCCATTACTCTCTTACCCCTTTACATCTGAGTTTGTGTATGATCATGGTTGCTTTGTGTATATGCTTATCTTTGGATCTGTCTTCCATGTATGAGCAAAAACACGCAGCCTTTTTGTTTCAGAGCCAGGCTAACCTCACTTAACATGATGTCCTTTAATTGCATTTTGATTTGCATCTCTTTTATTACCAGGGAAGTTGAATACTTTTTACTGACCATTTGTACCTCTTCCTTTGAGAATTCCCTGTTTAATTCATGTGCCTATTTCTTCATTGGAATGTTGATTCTTTGGAGGCTGAGTTTTTTGAGCTCCCTGTAGATTCTGGATATTAGTGCCTTATCAGATGAGTAGCTGGCAAAGATTTCCTCCCATTCTGTGAGCTCTCAAGTCTGGTGAATGTTCCCTTTGCTGTGCAGAAGTATGTCAGTTTGATGCAGTCCCATTTGTTCATTCTTTCTCTTAGATGCTGAGCCTTTTGAGTTCTGTTTAGGAAGTCATTCCCTACACCTATCTGTTCCAGTGTATTTCTTACTGCTTCTTGGAGTTGTTTTAAAGCTTCAGGCCTTATATTAAGGTCTTCAATCCACTTTGAGTTGATTTTGGTATAGGGTGAAAGACAGGGATCTAGTTTCAGTCTTCTACATGTGGATATCCAGTTTTCCCAGCAGCATTTGTTGAAGAGGTTGTCTTTTCTACATCTTGTGTTTGGGGCTCCTTTGTTGAAGATCAGCTGGCTGTAGATGGGTAGGTTTATGTCTGGATCTTCTATTCTGACCCACTGGTGATTCTCACAGGTAACTAGGCATGGGAACCTGAGGTGTAGGTTCCTGTCCAGCTCATTCTTTATTAATTCTAGGCATGAGATGACTTTAACTTTAGAGATGCTGTACACCCAAGAAGAGATGGTATTTCGAAGAAAACTGCTGCTGAAAAGAAAACCTCAGACAAAAAAAGAGAGAGGTAACTCAAGTCAGAGATGCCAGCATGATAGGTGAAAGAAGGCTGCATCCCACATGAAGATGGTTCAACTCTTGGGGTCTTAGATCCATATATCATGTTCTTTTTCTTACTACTGAGGATCAACCTCCAAGAACTACAAGAGTCCCAGAAGGAAAACTTGTTACCTTGTGGAAAGAGGACAGTTTTTAATCTTAGTTGAACTTTGGGAGACAGTGAAAAAAAATCACTCTTCTATTTTGTAACTAAAGGCCAATGTGACCTAGTGTTAGAACAACAGTGAAAGATTTATCAAAGTAAAGCAATGGGTGTCACAATAGAGAACCAGCAGGCAGCCAATGTCACAATACAGCAAACATAAGTAACCAGGAAGGCCAAGAAGACATGTTCAACCTCACATTCAATAAAAGATTGGAGAATTAAAACACCATGGCACTTTACATTTTAATACTAGCCAAGATTAAAAAGAACATTGGCAATGGAAAAGTACAGAGCCATGTAATATGAAATAATCCACTTCAACAATGTGCACACATGCCACAAGCCAAAGGTTGCACTAAAGAAGTCAGGCTCACGGGAGGACATACAATATCATTCCATTTAGACAAACTCCTAAAATAGACACAAATTTAGACAGCAGTCAGGATACTGGCTACACTCTGAAGTGGAAGCACAAATGGCTGATGGAGAGCTTCCGGGACGCAGGAAACATTGCACTTCTTGAACCTGGTTGATTCCACTGGTGATGTCAGTCACAAGACACTGAGTTTTCATTTGTGCACTTTCCTGTATGTGTGTTATACTTCAACAAATATCAAAAAGACAATGCTATGGGAATTCAAGGTTAACAGGCTAATTTAAGAAAGAATATAAATTGGAATTTTTTATGGTGAGCAAAAACTAGTACTGTTGATATCCATTGTGTCAGTAATTTCTTATTCAAAAAGATCTTTCTAGGAAAATTTAACAAATCCTACTAAGTAATTACATAAGGAATACAAATGAATAAATATATATGTGCATGTATGTATAAACTCTGCAGTTTTTTAAGAAGGAAAATTTGAAAACAATCCAAACATCTTATAATGATTAATAATTTAAATTCAAGTGTATCTCCAAAATGTAATAATAAATGATACACAAACATATGATTAAGGAAAATTAGGCTAAAGTGTAACAATATATAGTTTGATATCATTTTCTTAAAACTCTAATATTTTGATGTTACTTACATACACCAAAATGCCAATAGTAGTTGTGACTATGGTGGTGTGATTACAGGCAATTTATTTAAATTTAATTTAATTTGTATCTATTTTTCCAATGTCCTTACAATGAATTTTCATGACATATATGGAAGTAAATAGATTTTTAAAAAAGTTTCTGCGAACTTTATCTCATGTAGAACAATAGAAGATAAGTGAGAATGATAGCAAATAAATTAAAAACTCTGAATTTCTCTGTTAATGTTATGAATTTGTAGCTAAGTGATCTTTGTAGGGTTTATGTCAGCAGAGCTAATCTGCAGAGAGAATCGCATAAAGGCAGACATGACCTGGTAAGTGAGGAGCTATAAATGCTCCTTCCTTTTCTAGTTTAAGTCTAGCTCTAGACACAACTTCTCTCAATAAGTTTTATTCACAAAATAATGAAATTAATTCTAAAGCAACATGTAGATTTAAAGTTTAAGTAAGCAATTTAAAGGATGTTTATTTAGGTTCATGTTACCTAAAGAGAAAGAAAAGGTTAAGTAATTAGCTCCCTTTAAAATCGCTTCAAAAAAAGTCATACTACTTTAAAAATATTTCATTTTATGCAGCATCCCCTAAGTTTTATCCTCTTTACTAAATGTTTAATTCTCTTGCCTAACAACACAGGTCTTTGCAGGGGATAGTGATATTCATACACTAAATTATGCACTATTATAATGGTGAAGACATGGAAACAACTGAAGTGCTCAATACTGATGAGTTGATAAAGAAAATTTGGCTCATATATACAATAAAATACTATTAAGCAAACAAACAAGAAGAATGAAGTCCTGTCATTTGTGACAACATGGCTGGAACCAGAGGTCATCGTGTTAAACGAAATAAGCCCGGCACAGAAAGACAAGTGCTGCAGAAGCACATTCATACGTGGAATCAAAACTCTCAACCTCACAGATAATGAGTGAAGACTGGTGGTTACCA